TCTGATTCGGACACTGGCACAGTTGGGCACTGGTAGTGGCAGCCTCCCAATCGACCAGCTCTAAATATAGCTGGTTTGCCTAGGTAGTGCTCAGGTAGTATGGTAGGCATCAATATCGGCGAGGGCAAAGTTGTCTATCGGAGGGAGGGAAGTACGAGTGGGACGGGCAGGTTGTGAAGCCTCCTTCGCTAGTTGTTGCTTTTCGTAGTTGGCATCGATAAGTGGCACAGACGCTTGCATGTCTACTCGTGAAATTCATCGTGTGTCATCACGGTCGCAGTGCTTAAAGGTAACTTTGTACGGCATTGGCTTGTCGCCATATTTGCGATGCACGATGACCCGATCGATTTCCCAGTGGCCATCCATGGAAGGAGGGTCTTGCGATCACCGTCCCAGGAGGTCGTCGCTCTTGGCTGGTATGTAAGTGGCCAGCTTAGAGGCTTGAAAGACCGGGTGGATTGGTAGATGTGGCGGGATGTCGATCACGAACGATGGGCCATCGCGCCCGTCACCCACGGCTGATTTGATGGTCCATGGTCCAAACCACTTGGGGAGGAGTTTGTGCGAGGCATCTTGTTCGAGTTTGAACTCCTCGGAGGAAACCCATACTAGGTCGCCAACGCGGATAGGACATGGCACGCAACGCTGATCAGCTTGCTGCTGCATGCGGACTTGGGTCTTTTGCATGTTTGGGCGGGCTTTAGCCAACCAGTCCCGGTACTTCCAAACAAAGGTGGGAGAGCAAGGAGCGTCAATGTCGGCTGCCCGAGGGAATACAAGATCTGCGAAGATACGGTCTTTTCAGCCACTGTGGTGCAACTCAAATGGAGTTACGCCAATCGCCGGATGCAACGAAGTGTTGTATGCAAATTCAATGTCAGGAAGGAGGTCGACACAACCTTTCTGGTCCAGACGGATGAGCGTACGAAGTATCATTTGAGCCGCAAAATTGAGCGGTATGATGTGCCCGCTCTGTTTGCCTATCCGTTTGTGGGTGCCGATCTGAACTCGGTTTCATCTCGGTGCCGGATTCCTTCAGGAAGGAGGTACAAAATGCCGACATGAATCAAGTGTCGTGGTCGCTAACGATGTCTTTTGGAACGCTGTGGCCACAAATCCAACCGGTGTGCAAGACTCTTGCGAGCTCGGGAGCCGTCGCATGACACTTGCAAGGAAGAAACCGTGGGTACTTACTTAATCGGTCAACGACCGTGAGGACACCGTCATGTCCGAGGCGATCCTGTGGGAAGGGTCTGGTGACATCCATGGCAATAGACAAGCAGGGTTCCCGAGGAGTCGGTGACGGCCGCCACTCGCCATAGGGGTTGCGGTTGTGGGGCTTGTTGCGTCGACAAACCTCACAAGAATCGAAATACTGTGTAACGTCGGTGATGACGCCGGGCCATCAAAACCGAGGGCGAAGTCGAGTGACCGTCCAGTTGACTCCGAAGTGTCCGGCGAGCCACGAGTTGTGGTACTCACCAAGGAGGCGGGTCCATAGTCGACAGTCCCGTGGGATTCATAACAAGTCATTGTCTCGCGAATGGAGAAGCATGTACCCGTCGACGATGCAGTAGTGGCTAGCCGACGGGTGATTCAAAGAAAGTTCCTCGTAGAGGGTAGCATAGTCCGGATCCATCTTTTATGCCCATACTAAGTGTTGATGTAGGTCTTCGTCGAAGTCAGAGGCATGATGTGTCAATGTGCAAGGATCGTCTCTTCACGAAAGAGCATCCGCTTGATTAAAGAGACCTGTGATCATCGGCGTGACGTGCTTTGGCGTGAAGTCGAACTGGCCAATAAAGTACATCCATCTCTCGATCGTGCAACTCACCGTGTCTTGCGTCTTGTAGTAGCTCAATGGGTTATTGTCGGTCACCCAAGTAAACCTACGACGCTCAAGGAGGAAGTGTCGCCATCGTTTGAGTATCGTGACGAGGGCCAGCAACTCCTTCCTCGTGTCATCAGATGAGTTAATGGGGGGCACCTTTTGACGGAAGTATTCAACCGGATGCCAATCTACTCCATCGTGCTGCTCCAAGACTGCGCCAATGTCGTGGCCGGAAGCGTCCGTAGTCACTCTTGTTGGCAAAGTCGGGTAGTAAATGCTCAAAACAGGAGCCATAACCACCGTTGTCTTTAGCTTGTGGAACAGACCCTTACTTCGCCAATGAAGTGGAAGGGCAGCTTTGGGGACTGAAGTCGCGACGAAGGTGCGGCGATCCGCGTGTACCCATTCCCATGAAGCAGCGAACCTCCATGGTATTGGTGGTTCCGACCAATCTTAGATGGCCTGAATTTTCTCTGCAAGCGGACGGATGCCTTGTGGCGTCACAAAGTGACCCAAGTACTCAAGCTCTTGTTGAGCGAACTCGCACTTGGCCCAATTGGCCTTGTACTTGGCCATACGTAACCTCTCCAAAACGGTGCGTAGGTGCCGGAGATGCTCGTCGAGGTCCAACTATAAACCAGGATGTTGTTGAAATAGTTAAGGACGAACCAGTCCAACACGTAGCGGAACTCCGTCGTCATAGCCGCTTGGAAGCTGGCTGGGGCATTTGTGAGGTCGAATGGCATTACGACCCACTCGAAGTGCCCATACCTCGTCTTGAACGCGGTCTTGTACTGGTCTCGTGGATGGACCTCGCTTTGGCGATATCCGGATTTGAGGTCCAACGTCGAGAAGTACGTGGCGCCGCCCAAGCGTTCGAGAAGATCGTTGATGCGGGGAAGCGGGACTGCATTCTTAACAATTTGTCCATTAAGCTTGCGGTAATTAATGCATATACGCAAGTCATTGTTCTTTATCCGGACGAAGAGAACGGGTGCACCGTAGGGCGAGCAGCTAGGGCGAATCCAACCCTTGGCAATCAGGTCGTTGGGTTGCGTACAAAGTTCTTCCTCGCTCATGTGGTAGATACATCCGTGCGGACGTATGGCCCCATCCTCGAGGATGCTCTCGTGGCGAATAAGCTGATCCAATATGATTCCAACAGGGTCTTCGAAGACGTCGCCGAAGGAGTCAAGAAGCTCTACAATTTGTGGATCCGGTGGTACTTTCGATGCTGGCTCGTCAGATGGAGGGATGAAATGCACGAAACGAAGGCCTATTTTTTCAACATCGTGTTGTGCGAGGGAGTTGCGAATGCTCGCCGTGGGAACCACGTAACAACCAATCGAAGGGTAAGGTGGAGGAATCGTGCATGGGACTAACATACCGTCCAATCACACACATGAACAGTGCGACAATAGAAGTTCACCGGATGGTCTTCACTTCGCAGCCACGACATGGCCAAGTTCATATCAAACTTTGTGTCCAAGATGTCGAAGGAAATGACCTCGCGTGTGTGCGAGGCAAAGTACACGGGCACCGCGTCAATGCACCAGTCAATGGACTTGTGCATGTGACCGTCGGCCAACGTGACTTTCGTGGGCTGCGACTTCCTTCGAACACGTGGCCCGAGGCCAGCGTGCACCATGAAGTCTAATGTAGTTTCCAGTAACTCCACAATCGATCAAGGCGCTGCAAGTCACCTTCCCGATCGGAATGCGGATGTGAAGTAACGGTGCATCGATATCGTCGTACCGTTGTGTGGCGTACTCACTGTCAATCTTCGCAAGGTACTCGCGAAGGTCAACAACCCCTACTCCGTCTTCCGTCAAAGGAACTGGTACTACAGCGTGCAAATACTTGCGCAGATCCGCCATGAGTGCGTTGCAACGCGGTTTTGGCAAGGAACCGGGCGGGGGAAGAGGCAACCATTGGAAGCCTTTCGTAGTCTCGACCAAACCGGCGAATCCCCGGATGATAGAAGTGACCGCGAAGAAGTCGGGTCGCTTGCCAGTGGTGATGAAAATGCGCATGCACATGAGTCTTGCACGTGGAGGGGTAGGTCCAACGAAGGGACCGGCTGGACAGCATAGTCGTCATATGTAGTATGCGAACTTGCAACATCCGCATGTTCCCTGGACGTGTAGGAAGTTGCTAGCAAGGCAACCGTGTCCGGCGGGACGGGAAGTGGAGTCGCCTCACTTCCCGTGGAGCTCAGTTTCCCGAGCTTGGCTTGGGCCGAACATCCTCCTTGCCCTTGTCGCGAAGTTGTCGGGGCATTGGGAGGGGGTGTTTTTCGTGCTTTTGCACCAAAAACAGCATCCCCACTTTTGTCGGAGTTTGAATTGATCATCCGTGAGGTTGAACTTGACCCACGGCTTGTTCAGTTGTCCAGCTTCCATAGTTGACGCTGATTTCGCCTTGTTCCTTCTTGAGTTGGTGCGCCGCGGTGGAAGGGCATTGACTTGGTCTCCTTCACTTGACGCTGAAGTCGATGTCGGGTCTTCATTAGGTCCACTTGATTGGACTGCGGCAACGGGCTTCGTCCGTTGCCACAAAGTTCGGCTGCCCTTGCCTTTCGTTAGCGACATGCCGTTTTGTTTGGATAATGGGCGTGAGTTACTATTGCGTCGAAATCGCCATACCCCTCCACTTGTCCAAGTGCTTGTGTCAAGGAGTCCACGGAACGTTTGAAGAACGTGCGCCGAATGTGTTCGAAAGACAACTTCAGGTTCGGAATGGCCACAATCTTTTGCCATTCGGTAAATCACTCACGTGTGGGTTGACTTCCTTGAAACATTTGTAAAACTTGGTTGACGCCCTTGGCTACCGTGTCTTGCACGATGAATCGTGCTTTCCATAGGGCTTCAATAGTGTTCCAGTCCAACTTGGTGTGTAAGCGGTCCATGCTGACTCCCTATTTGACCGCGAGGTGATTGAGCCAGATTTGGCACTCACCCGTGGTGTTGAGGTAGAGTGCTGCGATTTTGAGATGTTCGGGGACTTCGTAAAATCCTAGCTCCGTGGTGAAACCTTGCCACCACGCGAGCGGATCTTGCTTGGTGTAGTCGTCGAACTTCTCGATTCGGAAAGTTGGCATCTTGGTATGGACAAGGGGTGTTGCTGCTTGCTGGTTGCTACTGCAGCGTGCGGACAACGGACTTCAGCACAGTTAGTTGCTGGTTGATTGTCGCAGGTCTTGTGAACGTGCCAAGGTCGCCGGTCGTGGCTACCGCATGGTCAGTTGGTCAATCCGCTGCTTCAGCTGTCGTGTCAACAACTGGCTTGTACTAGGTCCGCTGCCAGGTTTGACGGCATCCCTCTTCTCCAAGTCCTCGATGCGGGTATGAAAGCCGCAGGTGGTGCCATCTTGCCAGTCCCAGTCGTTGTCAATCACCCGTGCCAAGCGCTGCAGCTCCTGCTGCTGCCAATTGCACGTGGCAACGAGCTCCGCAATCATCATGGAGATCTCCTCCTTGGTCTTGTCACCCTCCGGCGGGCTGCTGTTACTCTCCGTCGGTGTGAAGTGCCATTTTTTTAGCGTTGCGGCATACCCCATCTCTCGCTGCTGCAGTGTTGAGCAGGCGGTCCACGGGAGTTGGTTGATCGCTCCAGCCTCGGCCTGCTCTCGTCGCTGGTCCGCTGCTGCCGGTAGTGGAAAGGGGCGGGGAAGTCGAACGCTATCCAATTTTGGTTGGAATTCGGAGAGTCCCGTTCGCTGGTTCCATTCCTCTCGGCGGTGACCTCCCTGGCGTGATCTGTGTGAGTGTTTTTCCATGAGCGAATACTTTGCAGAACCAATTACCTTCATCAGCGCAGGATCCCCAGACCCTGATTTGGGCCAAACTCGCATCCAAAGGGGGGTGAGCTGGTTCCTCCAGTGGGACCAACTGACAAGGTTTCCTTGCGTTGAGCCCTTCCCAACATTCAAATTCCCTGTTACCAATAGGGTCAAAGCCTGTCAATTTCCAAAACATAGGGGCTGGACTGATCTCATTTGAGATATACCAGGTCCCGGGAGGGTCCACCCCTTCTGGGCTCAAGGTGTCCTTCCATTGTGTGGGAATAGCGTCAATTATAGCCACCAACCTTTCTTCGACATACCAAACAACACCCAACAATTCCCTCAATGCCCCATGTGAGATCCATTGTCCCTCCAGTGCCTTCCAAATATCACGGATCCTTAGGACCCTTCTCTCGATCCAGCTTTTTCCAAAGCTGCTACGGGAGTAGTCTGCAGAGAAACAATTACCATTTGCCTGCCTTATTGCAGGGTTTTATCAAAGAGCGGCTGTAATAAAATTTCAGCTTTCGTGGTGGGGTTCAGCCAGGCATTCGGCCTGAGTTGTTTCCATGCATACAACACAGCCCCCCAGAATTCAGATTTCACACGTCGATTCTGATAAGAGCTAAGTAACAGACATGTCCAAACATCCGAGTGGCGTTTGAGAGACCATTAAGCAGSTAAGATTTCCTCRGGCAGGGCAATCCAGTGGGAGGCCTCCGAGGAGCTTATGGCCTTAATCACCCATCTAACCAACATCGCAACACTTTTCTTCCGGGGATCAACTAATCTCAATCCTCCCTCCTCCTTGGGGTAGCATAGAAGATCCCATGCCACTTTCGACATGAAGCCTTCCTCATTACAGGAGTACGACTTCCATATGAAACGACCGGCCCTCCTTCTAATTAGAGAACATATGTGTTTACCCAATGGACGGACGGCTGCAGCAAACCAAAACAAGGACATCAAGGCACTATTAATGATCAAAATTATCCCATAAAGTGACAGGTGTGTCGCTTTCCCCCACGTGGCTACCTGTTGTATCGAGCGTTGAAGGAGGATACCCTCTTTATCTATATTACATGATAGTAGAGAAACTTGAACTCCAAGAAAGCACTCAGATTCCTCTGCAACAATACGCTTCATACCCCAATTTACAACGGGTACGTGAGTGGTAGGAAGGAAGAACATGGACTTTGCCCAATTGAACGAGGCTTCAGAAAGTTCTGAGTACTCGTCCAAACACATTTTTAGGCCATTCATTGGCTTCGTTAAGTTTTCAGAAACGGCGAATAAGTCATTTGCAAGTGCCTTCACTTTGCACAGAGTAACGCCAGCCTTCAGACCTACAATCACATGGTTCGATCTGTTGTTGCAGAGAAGGTTCTCCATTTGGATCACGAAGAGGAGAGGGGTCAGGGGACATCCTTGTCTCAGAGAGCGGGACAGGGAGAAGGGCACAGATAGATTGTCATTCACAATTACCGAGGCGGTTGACAGCGAATAAAGAGTCGCCACCCAGTTACACAAGTTCTCACCAAAACCCACATGCCTCAAGGTTGTCAGAACATACGTCCAATTAACACGATCGTATGTTTTTTTGAGATTCAACATTAGGATGGAAATGTTTGATTGTGTGTTCTGCACCACTTCCAAGGCCTCAATAGTTGTAACGATATTATCGAAAATCGAGCGGCCTCTTACAAAGGCCGCTTGATCGTTGAAAATCACAGAGGGGAGATATTTTCCCAGTTGTCTGGCCAAAACTTTGGCCAATAATTTGTAGGAAACATTAAGGATCGAAATCAGTATCCAATTTCTAATCTCCGACTTGTCCTTTTTTTTATACAACAGGAAAATGATTCCGTTTTTGATACCCTTGGAGAGATTTCCTCCCACGAGGACTTGATTATAGATTTCCATTAATTGGTTTTTTACGGAATCCCAAATTACCAGATAAACTTTCACTGGTAAATCGTCATCCCCCGGGGCCTTGCCCTTAGCCATAGAGGCCACAGCTTCCCAAGCCTCTTCCGTCGTAATCGGGTCATCCATATCCTTTTTTTTTTTTTTTTTTTTTTTTTTTTTAACTATCCTCGGGTTGCTAGTGATGGTGATAAGAGCAGCCATCACTAGCATCCCGGCTACAGGCTCCATTCTATTGGTGGGGAGCTACACCTACTGGAAACCGGGTCCAGCGTCCCTGATACAATGGAAATGTAATACTGATTTGAAAAAATAGTGACGAAAGGAGGACCACCTCTTCAGCCAGAATCTGGCCGCCAGATAACCTTGATTGAACTACCAGTACAACCTCCTATCTTTTCTCAAAAAAAAGTTTCATACAAGCAGATACCCAAACAGCAGAAAGGAATCCTAGGACTGCTTAAGTTGAACTACCCTTGACGCAGCACTAAATTTTACCTATCACCCACTGCACACCACTGATTATCAACCAGCGCCAACTCAGAGGGGGGGAAGGGATCAAGAAAGCAATCAGGAGATCTGAGAGTAACTCTTTGAGGAAGTGAAAACCAGTCCTTGAAAATCAGGTGGTAGTCCCGTTTTAGAGATTCCTCCTGCACCTCCCTGCCCAGCCATTTCACTTCCCCCAAACTATCTCCTTCAGTTTCTCCTAGCCAATTAAGATTGAATTGTTGAATACTACTAATAATATATTTTTTCTGCTGGAACTGTTGTAACTTAGCACAGACTATTAACCAGTGTGCCCGTATTTCTGTTTGTACGAATTGGACTATCAGCTGAGCAAAGTTTGTTCCTTCCAATTTCACGTCTTCTCTTTCATGCACACACCTTTTATACCATAGTGCCCATAAAATAGCTTTCCGCCCAATTTCAAACAAATTTCTCTGAAATTCTGAAGGATGTATATTCATTGGTTCCCAATAGCCCAGGAGAACGGTTCTCCAGTCCCACGGCCAGTCAATCCCTGTCAGACCTCTCCATACACAGTCCCACCTTCTCCATACCAATACTGTGCCCAGACATTGGATGAATACGTGTTCAATGGTTTCTTTGATCTTCTTATTCGGGAAAACCGAGAGGCATGCTTTACACCATGGAAGTGTCAGGCCACGTTGCTCTAAATTAGTGTGATCAATAAGCCAGTCATTCGTGGGTAGGCACCTATGGAGAATTTGCCACTGTAGCGAGGAGAATTTAGTTGGTCTTTGTTTTAGCTCGTTGAAGAATTTTATATTTTGAATTTTGTGCATATCTATATTCAAATGCTTTACCCACCGGTATCTTATTATAGATGCCACATCCACTCTTGGTCTCAACAATCGATAAACTGCCTTGACTGAAAGGGACTGCAAAGTGCGTGGTTTGATTTTCCTCCCGGTTTGCCACACCCATTCTGTTGGGTCAATGGGTAGGTCCGGAATTGGGCATTGTGGCTGGAATACTCTCCAACTTTTGGAGGCGGATATAAAAAGCACTCTTATCCTAAACATTTCCTTGAATTGAACAAACTCAACTTGGTTAGCTTGTGAAGGGCGGAGCCAATAATTTGCAGTTATTCTGAAGAGGGACACCAAAGCTCCTTCTTTTAATAGACTCAATATTTGTCCAACTTGCCAACATTCAAGATCTTGAGTAATCATTACAAAATCCTCTTCCTGAAATCTTAATCCTTTTTTTAGTTCTCTTCTCCACACCAGGGGAATAGAACAGATGATGTGGTCCAGGTTCTGGGCTAGTTTATGGGCATATGGAATAACTTTCTTAAGTTGATCAGTCGACATCCAATTTCCTTTTTCATGATCCCAGATGTCGTTAACCCGTACTACCCCTTTTTTCACCCATTGGGACCATGGTGTTGAAGAACTATTATAAAAGGTTTATTTGGTAAAGGTAGTTTCCACCATGTTTTCATAATTGAAAGCCATAAATTATCAACCAGGAGATCAATACGAGTTGCTCCTCTCTCCCCTTCTAGATTTGAATGTGCACACGGTCGAGGGATGTTCCAGAATCTATTTTCTATCCAAGTGAGGGGGTACACTTCCACAGGAGTATTCGGTGTCAGTCTTCTTATTTGTTCAAGAGTCATAGGTTGCCAGGGTTTATCAATTCTTAAAATGAGGTTTATTATCCATTGTAAGGACAAAGCTTGATACTTCAGGGTAGGGTCAAAAAGTCCCAAGCCTCCCGTAGATTTAGGTTGTATCAGGGTGGACCACGCCACCCTAAGGTCTAGTTCGTGATCACCCCTCCAAAGGAAGACCGACACTTGTTTTTGAAGGTGTTTAATCCTTGGCTTGCCAATTGCCCAAAGTGTTGATTTGTACTTTATTGATGCCAACACCACATTGTTAATTACAAGTGTTCGACCAAAAAGAGAGGTATGTTGACCCTTCCATTGATTTATTTTTGTAATCGCGGGCTTAGATATCCAATCGTCATTGGAGATGGGTTTACCATTAAAAGAAAGTGAAACTCCCAAGACTCTCAATGGGACCTCCAACGGCAACCATTGTACCCTAGGAGACTCAAGAGGTCGATCTCCATTAGAATGGAACCACCATCCTTGAGTTTTACTTCCCCAATTGACTATCATGTCTGAAACTACGGAAAATTTATCTAGCATGTTTTTTATTTCCCCCATATTTGTTGCAGATGCTTCCATCATAATGGTCAGATCGTCCGCAAACATGGATGCTATGGGAATTACCTCTTCAGGTATCCCGAGATGCGTAGATGCTTAATGTTGTGATTAGCTTTAAGATTTGCCCCCAACACTTCCATCACAATTACAAAAAGGAAAGGGGTCAATGGATCCCCTTGTCTTACTTACCTTTGAATGTGAATTTCTGGGGACAGCAGACCATTAACCAGAATTCGTGTTGTAGCATTTGCATGGAGGATTTTG